CGCTTGGAAGTAGACGAAGGAAGGAGCCAGAGAATCTCATACTATTCAGGAATTCGGGCTGTTCACGTTCCCCTTAGATCTGTCACAACTTTGTACTGGTTTTGTTCTAGATTCAGTGACAACCGAAACGTGACACCACGCAGCTGTTAAGGAGCTCTTATCTAGTTCAAGAGGTCATCTTAGTTAAATAAGCCACAAATGCATGAATAATTATAGTCAGAATAACATGAAGAGGCCTTCACAGCCACCTTGACTCTGGTCTGGTATAAGGACAAGACGGTCTGGAATGTTACATTCTTCATCTCGTCTCTACCTTCTCCCTACAGTAGAGGTACATATCTTCAACCTTTGCTGTGCAACCTGGCTGCCCATCCCACCCAGTGGAGTAGTAGAATAGATTTCCCCGTTTTTTTGACTTTGGCCTTGGTCGTGTGACCTGTTTTGACCAATGATTCCATTTGGCCCATATTCATGGGCCAAAATGAGAGTGTATCAGCTCTGAGCAGAGGCCTTAAGGGCCAAGATGTAATTATGATTCCTTCCTGTACTTCTGCCATCCACTGAAAGATAAGCATGCTACAGGTAGCTGCTTTTGTTTGACACCAGTCCTAGATGGAGGAGCAAACATGAACCCCAGCCTAGGAAGCCAGGCTAGCTGAGACTTGTAGATTGACAGCCACAGGCAAGAGACAAAGATTTGTTTTCATAAGTATCTGAGATTTAAAGAGTTGTTAATGCACCAGAAGCTGACAGTCCACCATGTTATGAACATTTCCAGAATACCTACTAAACAGACACACTGGAATTAAGTGGTTAGCAAAACAAGACACTGTTTTCATAACTACCTCTTACTTCTGTTTGGCTGATAGATATTTTTTTCTCATTCTTTCTTTTCATTTCCTCCTTAAAATGGGGCCAGCATAATGTAGTAAGAACATGCCAGAGATCTTCTTATTGTCTGGTCTAGTGTTAACTTTCTACCTCTTGCCAACTCCCCAGTATTTCTAAGCATCTCTTGGGCTCCTAGAATGGAGATATCATCATCACATTTCCATCTCCAATGGCATGGAAAATCGGTCGCCCTGGAAAAAGAAGGGTTTCCTTGCCAATGTCCAGGAGTTGAGAAAAATTGGAAACCACCCATGTTTAAAAACTCTGTCTTAAGTTATGAAAAATTTTCTGGTAATTTTGTGCCTTACAGGTGTTTTATAGATGCAAGCAGAGTATACTTTATGGCTGGGCTGTTTTCTGTCTGACCACACACATGCGGGGTAAGAGGCCTCCCTATCTTTGTTCTGTGGGGATGAGAGATTCATAACTCCTAGAACTTTGATGGAACTGATAGGAACTCTTCTCAAAAGTTGAAAACTTGTTCAAAATTTATAGCAAAGACTATCAAAAGTCTTATGTTCTTCATATTGTTTAATACTTACGATATTCATAAAATTTGTCTTCATATGGAACCATAGAAGACACTGTCTAACTTAACTCGCTTATTAAGCTATTATAAACACAGTCTGATGATTCTTTATTTCTCTCCCTTCTTTTTGCTTCTCCTCCCTTCTTCATATGTTGGGTTTTTGTTCTGTGTTCTTTTTAGGAGTGCTCCCATCTAGAGCAGTCCCTGTAGAGGTGGTTTGTGGAAGGCAAATTCCCTCAATTTTTGCTTGTCTGGGAATTGTTTAATCCCTCCTTCATATTTAAATGATAATCGTGCTGGATACAGTATTCTTGGTTCGAGGCCCTTCTGTTTCATTGCATTAAGTATATCGTGCCATTCTCTTCTGGCCTGTAGGGTTTCTGTTGAGACGTCTGATGGTAGCCTGATGGGTTTTCCTTTATAGGTGAACTTTTTTTTTCTCTCTGGCTGCCTTTAATACTTTGTCCTTGTCTTTGATCTTTACCATTTTAATTATTATGTGTCTTGGTGTTGCCCTCCTTGGATCCCTTGTCACGGGAGTTCTGTGTACCTCTGTGTTCTGAGAGGCCATTTCCTCCCCTAGTTTGGGGAAGTTTTCAGCAATTATTTCTTCAAAGACACTTTCTATCCCTTTTTCTCTCTCTTCTTCTTCTGGTACCCCTGTAATGCGGATATTGTTCTGACTCGATTGGTCACACAGTTCTCTTAAAATTCTTTCATTTCTGGAGATCCTTTTATCTCTCTGCATCAGCTTCTCTGCATTCCTGTTCTCTGTTTTCTAGTCCATTAATGGTCTCTTGCATCTCATCCATTCTGTTTTGAAGTCCTTCCAGAGCTTGTTTTATTTCTGTATTCTCCCTCCTTAGTTCTTGCATATTTCTCTGCAAGTCCATCAGCATGGTTATGACTTTTCATTTGAATTCTTTTTCAGGAAGACTGGTTAAATCTATCTCCCCAGGTTCCTTCTCAGGAGAATACGTAGAAGATGTTGAAGCTGTCTGGGTTAGTCTTGCCTGGATCAAATTTTTTTGCCTTTTCATGTTGATAGGTGTAGTGGAGTGCTATTGACGCATCTATCAGCTGGGAGAGTCAAGCCTCTTTCCACTTGTTCCTGGCCTTTCTTTAGTGAGACAACTGCGACCCCTAGTGGCTTGTGTTGGGCAATTGCGTGTAGACTGGGTCTTTGTATCTTGCCCGGCTGGTATGGAGGAAGCTCCCTTGCTGTGGGCATGGCCAGCCTCAGGCTGCTTCTCTGCTATGGTGGAGGCCCGGAGGGGTAATGGACAGGGGGCTGTTTGGCTGTTTACCTCCGTGAGGGGTTTCAGAGCTGTTGCCCAGGGTGTTAGTGCGCCCAGAGTTCCCTGGAATTTCCAGCTGCTGGACTGTGACCCGGGATGCTTCCGTCCAGCTGTGGGGTCCCTGTCCCTTTAAGACTTTCAAAAAGCACTCACTTTTCTTTGTCACCGGGACATCGGTTTCGGGACCCGCTCACTGGTCCTACTGCCCTGTTTCCCTAGTATCCAGGACCCCATGCATGCACTGTGTCTGCGCTCTGGTGTGGATGGCTGGGGCTGGGTGTTCAGCAGTCCTGGGCTCCCTCTCCCTTCCTGCTCCGTCTCCTCTCCTCCCACCGGGAGCTGGGGTGAGTGGCGCTCAGGTCCCGCTGGGCTGCGGCTTGTATCTTACCCCTTTCACCAGGCGCTGGGCTCTCGCACGTGTGGATGCAGTCTGGCTGTTGTCCTGTGTCTTCTGGTCTCTCTTTTAGGATTAGTTGCATTTGTTGTATTTTCAAAAATATATATGTTTTTGGGAGGAGATTCCCACTGTCCTACTCACGCCGCCATTTGGCTCCGCCCCCGTGAACAACTTCTTTATGAACACAGCTCCACGGGTGAGGGAAGGGAAAGCAAAAATGAACAAGTGGAACTATATCAACGGAAAAAGCTTCTGTACAGCAAAGGACAGCATCAGTAGAACAAAAAGATACTGTACAGTATGGGAGAATATATTCATAAATGACATATCCAATAAGGGCTTGACATCCAAAGTATATAAAGAGCTTGAGCACCTCAAGAAACAAAAAGGAAATAATCCAATTAAAAATGGGCATAGGTTCTGAACACACACCTCTCCAAAGAAGAAATCCAGATGGCCAATATGCGTGTGAAAAGATGCCCCACATTGCTAATCATCAGAGAAATGCAAATTAAAACCGCAATGAGATATCACCTCACACCAGTAAGGATCACCATCCAAAAGACAAACAACAACAAATGTTGGCGAGGATGTGGAGAAAGGGAAAACCTCCTACACTGCTGGTGGGAATGTAAATTAGTTCAACCATTGTGGAAAGCAGTATGGAGGTTCCTCAAAATGGTCAAAATAGACTTACCATTTGACCCAGGAAATCCACTCCTAGGAATTTACTGTAACAATGCAGGAGCCCAGTGTGAAAAAGACATATGCACCCCTATGTTTATCGCAGCAGTATTTACAATTGCCTAGAAGTGGAAGCAACCTAGGTTTCCATCAGTAGATGAATGGATAAAGAATATGGTACATTTACACAGTGGAATATTATTCAGCCATAAGAAGAAAACAAATGGTACCATTTGCAACAACATGGATGGAGCTAGAGGGTATTATGCACAGTGAAATAAGCCAGGCAGACAAAGACAGGTACCAAATGGTATTAGTCATTTGTGGAGAAACTGAAGGAGCAAAACACCAGAAGACTCACAGAACCCAAGAATGGACTAACAGTTACCAAAGGGAAAAGGACTGGGGAGGACGAGTCAGCAGGGTGGGATAAGGGGGGAGAAAAGAAAGGGGGCATTATGATTAGCATGTATAATGTGTGTGTGGGGGCACGGGGAGGGCTGTTCAACACAGAGAAGACAAGTAGTGATTCTACAACGTCTTGCTGCACTGATGGACAATGACTGCAATGGGGAATGTGGCGGGAACTTGGTGATGGGCGGAGTCTAGTAAATATAATGTTCCTCATGTAATTGTAATGATACCAAAAAAAAACACAAAAAACAAAAAAAAATGAACAAAACAGTAGACTCACAGAACCCAAGAATGGACTAACAGTTACCAAAGGGAAAAGGACTGGGGGTGGGGGGTTTTGGTGGGGAAGGGCGGGATAAGGGGAATAAGGTGCATTATGATTAGCACACAATGTAGGGGGGGCACGGGGTAGGCAGTATAGCACAGAAAAGACAAGTAGTGACTCTATAGCATCGTACTATGCTGATGGACAGTGACTGTAATGGGATATGTGGTGGGGACTTGATAATGGGGAGAATCTAGTAACCACAATGTTGCTCATGTAAGTGTATATTAATGATACCAAAAATAAAAAATACATAAAAACATTTCTGAGTACCTTCTATGTGCCAGACATTATTCCAGATGCTTCGGAATATATCATTAAACAAACTTGACACAGATTTATGCCCTGGTGGGCAGAGAGGGAAGGCAGAAAAGAAATTACTACACTGTTAAATTAATTAATTAAATAATTTTAGAACATCCTAATTACTATGTAAAAATAAAAAAGAAAGTGTGACTAAGTACTATTCTTTCAAAATTGGGTATTAGTACCAGACCTGGGTTCAAATCTCAACCCTGCCACTTAATAAGTAGGTGATCTTGGGCAAGTTACTTACCTTCTCTGAGCTTCAGTTTCCCTATCTATACAACCAGGACAAAACCTCTCTCAAAGTACTTTAGTATTGTTTTGAGGATATATAATGCAGGTAAAAAGCTTACCACAGTGCCTGACCCATTGTAAGTGCTCAGTGATTAGTAACTGCCTCTGTTATGAAGTCGTGTATGTTGCTTGTTGTCATAGATATCTAAGAGGCATGGTCAGGTTTTGCAACCACATCTTTCATTGCAAGCTTTTACATTTAGAAATAATTTCAAAATTACAGAACTGTTGCAAGAAAAAGAATGGTACAGAGAATACCTATTTTTACCATTATAGCTCATTTGTTCATGCTCTCTCTGTATATAAATTCTTTTCTTTTTCTGAACTATTTGAGGATAAGTTACATAATTTATGGCCCATTATCCCCATATGCTTCAGTATGTATGTCATAAGAATAGGGGTATTCTTTTCCTTGACTGCAATAGTGTTATCAACTTCAGTAAATTTAATATTGGAACAATTTTGTTATCTAATATTGCATTCCACTTTTGTGAATTGACCCAATAATGTCCTTTATGGCATTATACCCCCTCCCATACAGATCCAGGATAGCATCAGGTATGTATTTAATTATCATGTCTCTTTAATTTCCTTTGATCTAGGAACATTTCCACAGTTTTTGTCTTTTATGACATGGACATTTTTGAGGAATACAAGCCAATATCACCCACACCCCCAACCCCCTTTGTGTTTTCTTCAGCGCACCATTCCTTCTTTGGGATATGTTTTCTTATGATTAGATTCACGTGATGCATTCTTAGCTGATATACTACATAGGTGATGCTGGATCCTTCCCAGGGTCTCACATCTAGAGGCACATGTCCATCTGCACCTCACCGGTGATGTGAATTTTGATCACTCAGTCAAGGTGTCGTCCAATTTCTTTATTGTTATGCAATTAACAAGGAATCTGTGTGGTAGTACTTAAGACCGTGCATATATCCTACTCCTTATCAAAAGCCCTTGATGATTCTTGTCTGACCAATATTTAACACGATATTTGTAAAATGTTTATTTTCCAACTCAAGCACTTCCTTCACCTTGACCAGTTGCTGCAAACAAGATCCCTCCCTTCTCCTCCATGTTATGTATTTAGCTCTGTATTCATCTGTTTATTATTGGTATGGATTCATGGCTTTCCATTTTTTTGATGTTTCATAATTCATTATGGTACTTCAGTTCTCAATTCTGTCACGTTTGGCCTATGGCCTTTTCAAGCAGTTTCCTTTCCTTGTGACATACCCCCATCATTTGTTTTGAGCAGTTCCTTAATTTCTGGCATAACAGTGCGTTCCAGGCTCATCTTGTGCCTTTCTTGCCCAGCCCCGAAATCAGCCATTTCTCCAAGGAGCTCTGTGCAATAAGATCTTTGGACTTGGACTCCAGCTTGCAGTTCTTTCTATCCCAGCACAGCTGGGTCAGCCCTGCAACATCAAGACCAGGTTTGTGGGATTTTTATGGAAAGGTGCATATCTGGGGTACAGGATAATTTCTGGGGAGTAAAGGGAAAGGTGTTTAGAGCTGTCTACAGTAGCTAGAAATTTTGTGGCAAGCCAACAGAAATCAATGAAGTTCCTTGATCAAAATTCTTGATTGGAAATCCCAGTAAAAAGAATGGGAAAGGGGTGTGCTTGCAAATTGTGTGAATATTGAATTTCTTATCTGGGGCTAGACAGTCTGGACAAGGCAAGCATACTCTTGATTTCGTTATATTGAATAAAAAGAAAACTATGTGAAACACCTCTCGTAATTTTTTTGTGTAATATAGGAGCACAGTATATAAGGCAAATGAAATCAACAGAAATCCCAATTCGATTTTGGTCCAAGTAACATCAATTTCTTCTGCCAATGGATTTTATTTTTTTGTCAGGACTGACTGCAAAGCACAAGTTAACTATTTTGAGCCTCATCTCTTTTCTTTGCCTGCCCTCTAGTGAAGGTGAATGAAATTACACAATGGCCTCCGAACAGATAGGTGAAGGGAAAATAAAAACCAACTAGGTGAATCAGTGGTGATGAGATCAGCAGTCAGAGCTGGAAGGATCTGACATATCTTTGTGTCCAATCCTTTATTTTGCAGAAAGGGAAACTGAGGCCCAGGAAGCGGGGAAGCTACTTGTCCAAAATCATAAAGCTAATGGCAGAGCTGCTCCCGATATACACTGTCATTTAAAAGAAATCCTTGAAAAGTTTTCGATTATAAAAAAGTCCATTTGAATGCAGAAGAATTGATTTAATTTTTGTAATACTTGGTTCTCCAGTATATTTTTTCAGAACAGTTTTAGGAATGGGAGGGGGACAGTCAGTAATTTTTTCAAAATACCATACATCCAACCCCCTTCCCAATTTTCTTTCTTAATAACAGCATTAATATCCTGAAAACCACAAGACACTCTTAAGAGAAATTAAAGAGGATACTAATAAATGGAGATCCATCCCATGCTCTTGGGTAGGAAGAATTAATACTGTCACAACGGACATCCTGCCTATAGCAATCTACAGATTGAATGCAATTCCTATCAAAATACTGAACAAATTGTTCAATGAACTGGAACAAATAGTTCTAAAATCCATATGGAACCACAAAGACCCTGAATAGCCAAAGCAGTCCTGAGAAGGAAGACTAAAGCAGAGGGGAATCTTGCTTCCCAACTTCAAGCTTTACTACAAAGCCACAGTAATCAAGACAATTTGGTACTGGCACAAGAACAGACCCACAGACCAGTGGAATAGAACAGAGTCCAGGTATTGACCCAAACATATACAGTCAATATATGATAAAGGAGCCATGGACATACAATGGGGAAATGACAGCCTCTTCAATAGCTGGTGTTGGCAAAACTGGACAGCTACAGGTAAGAATGAAACTGGATCATTGTCTAACCCCATACACAAAAGGAAATTCAAAATGGATCAAAGACCTGAATGTAAGTCATGGAACCATAAAACTCTTAGAAAAAAACATAGGCAAAAATCTCTTGGACATAAACATGAGCAACTTCTTCATGAACATATCTCCCCGGGCAAAGGAAACAAAAGCAAAAATGAGCAAATGGGACTATATCAGGCTGACATGCTTCTGTACAGCAAAGGACACCATCAATAGAACAAAAAGACATCCTACAGTATGGGAGAATATATTCATAAATGACATCTGATAAGGGGTTGACATTCAAAATATATAAAGAGCTCACGCACCTCAACAAAAAGCAAATAGTCCAATTTAAAAATGGGCAGAGGAGCTGAACAGACACTTCTCCAAGAAGAAATTCAGGTGACCAATAGTCACATGAAAAGATGCTCCACATTGCTAATCATGACAGAAATGCAAATTAAAACCACAATGAGATACCGCCTCACACCAGTTAGGATGGTCACCATTCAAAAGACAAACAACAACAAATGTTGGTCAGGATGTGGAGAAAGGGGAACCCTCCTACACTGCTGGTGGGAATGTAACTTAGTTCAACCATTGTGGAAAGCAGTATGGAGGTTCCTCAAAATGGTCAAAATAGACTTACCATTTGACCCAGGAATTCCACTCCTAGGAATTTACCCTAAGAATGCAGCAGCTCAGTTTGAAAAAGACATATGCACCCCTATGTTTATCGCAGCACTATTTATAATAGGCAAGAAATGGAAGCAACCTAAGTGTCCATCAGTAGATGAATGGAGAAAGAAGATGTGGTACATATACACAATGGAGTATTATTCAGCTATAAGAGGAAAACAAATCGTACCATTTGCAACAAGGATGGAGCTAGAGGGTGTTATGCTCAGTGAAATAAGCCAAGTGGAGAAAGACAAGGATATAATGATTTCACTCATTTGTGGAGTATCAGAACAAAGCAAAAACTGAAGGAACCAAACAGCAGGAGACTCACAGAACCCAAGAATGGACTTAACAGTTACCAAAGGGAAAGGGACTGGGGAGGATGGGTGGGAAGGGAGGGATAAGGGGGAAAAGGGGGCATTGCGATTAGCAGACATAATGTAAGGGGGCACAGTGAGGGCTGTACAACACCGAAGACAAGTAGTGACTCTGTAGCATCTTCCTACACTGATGGACAGTGACTGTAATGGGGTATGTGGGGAGGCTTGATAATGGGGGGAGTCTAGCAAGCATAGTGTTGCTAATGTAATTGTACATTAATGATACCAAAAATAAAAAATAACAGCGTTAAGATATATTTTATATACTATAAGATTCAACCATAATTTGACAGCTACCATCATTCCTTTCAAAACTGCATAGACAAGCTCCTCTTTAACAGGTGAAAATTATACATCATTCCCTTTTCTCCTTGAACACATACAGAATTTCCCCCTTATCTGCGGTTCTGCTTTCCATAGTTTCAGTTACCCACTGGGAACAGATGATCCTCCTTCAGAAAAATTATCAGAAGGTCAATAGCCTAACACTGCATCACAATGCTTACATCGTTCACCTCCGTTTATCTCATCATGTAGGCATCTTATCTCACCATCACAGGAAGGATGAGCACAGTACAGGAAGAGATTTTGAAGGAGAGAGACCACACAACTTTTATTACAATATGTTATAAGTGTTCTATTTTATCATTAGTTGTTAATCTTATAAATCCCTAATTAATAAAAATTTATCACAGGTATTATATGTACAGCAAAAAACAGCATATATAGGGTTCGGTACTGCCCGTGGTTACAGACATCCACTGGGAGGGCTTGGATGTAACCCCTGAAGATAAAGGGTGACTACTGTACAGGCTCATCTCATTTTATTGTGCTTTGCTTTATTGTACCTCACAGATACTGCATTTTTTAAAACAATTTGAAGGTTTGTGGCGGCAACCCTGTGTCAAGCAAGTCTACTGGCACCATTTCTCTGACGGCATTTGCTCACATCGTGTGTCTGTATCATACTTGAGTAATTCTCACAATATGAGAAGTTATTATTGTATTTGTTATGGTGATCTGCGATCAGTGATCTTGACTCACTGAAAGCTTATAATGGTCAGGATTTCTTAGCAATAAAGTGTTTTTAATTAAGGTATGCACATTGTTTTTTTTAGACACAACGCTATTGCACATTTAATAGACTACAGTATAGTGTAAATGTAGCTTTCATATATACTGGGAAACCAAAAAATTCATTTGACCTGCTTTATTGTGATACTTGCTTTATTGTGGTGGTTTGCAGCCAAAGCTACAAAATAGCTGAGGTATGCCTGTAGTCTCATTCTTCTCCCAGATTTTTATCCGAATGTAATATACTTTTATTCTTGTGTTAATATTGATCAGCCTGTCATACTTCTTTGCAGAAAACATATACACGTTAAACTTGTATTTTTCATTTCCTGTGACATAGTGCTCCAGATGTTAACACTTTTTATTGATACACAGTCCATCAACATAAATGTAACGATTTGAATCAATAATTTTTTTTTTTTGAGAGGGCATCTCATATTTATTGATCAAATGGTTGTTAACAACAATAAAATTCAGTATAGGGGGGTCAATGCTCAATGTACAATCATTAATCCATCTCAAGCCTAATTCTCGTCAGTCTCCAATCTTCTGAAGCATAACGAACAAGTTCTTACATGGTGAACGAATTCTTACATAGTGAATAAATTCTTACATGGTGAACAGTACAAGGGCATTCATCACAGAAACTTTCGGTTTTGATCATGCATTATGACCTATAAACAATCAGGTCAAATATGAATATTCGTTTGATTTTTGTACTTGATTTATATGTTGATCCCACATTTCTCCTATTATTATTATTATTTTTATTTTTAATAAAATGCTGAAGTGGTAGGTAGATGCAAGATAAAGGTAGAAAACATAGTTTAGTG